TGCCCGGAAATTCGAGGAGCCACCAGGAGATCACGGAGGAAGCCATTTTGAACGTCACCGTACAAGTGTGCCGCGCGCTGGCCGAAGCCGAGGGGAACGACTTCGCCCTTCCCGTGAGATCCCTTCTCGCTTCGGCGCTCGCCGCCCGCGCGCGTTGTATCTGTCGCCGGTCCGTGCCCACGAGGCCTCTCGATTTGCTGTCGGAAACCGAAGAGACGAAAAATGATGACGGCACCTCATCCAAAGAGTTTATGTCGATGATTCCCGACCGGTGCGCCGGGCCCGGCACGCTCGTGAGCCGCGGTGACTTCAAATTCATTGGTGACAAAAAGATCGCGTATCTTTGTTCATCGAGCGATGTCAGCGACTTATCGTGGGAGAAAGAACAAAACCGCTCATCTTGGATTAGATGGCAAAAAGGACGCGATTGACAGACGTATCCTCTTTTTGTGACCATTTGGTTTGGTGGCGCGCCGTGCCATTTTTCCAACTTGAAGGAAAACGGTGTACGATCACACCCGTCTTCCTTGCCAGTTTCAACAGCAACCACCGCCGCCGCCGCCGCCGCCGGGGGGAGCAGGAAGGGTGGGCTGGCTTGAGCTCAAAGAGGATTGAAACGGACGTTGATCGTTAGCGATTGTGTCTCGCGCTCGCACTTGTGCACTTTGACTCAAGAGTAGCGTTTGTGCCGCCTCGCTCCACACGCAACTCAAGACTTTGCTCCGCTTTGCGCTAGCCGAAAATGTTCCAAGGACAACAAGGCCATCGAATTCGTGGAAATGCAGCGAAAGGTATTCAAAGAGTTAAGAAATTGCTGGACGGAAACTATCAAGCTGCAGAAACAGCGGGGCGGGGTGGGGTGGGGGCGGGGGGCTCACTTAGCCCTCGTTGGCTTGCCTTCAACACACCCGGGGGCGGAGTTGAATTGGCGGAGGCCTTTCGGTCTGCCGCTCAACATCCGGCTCGACAAGGTGGCCAGATCGAGGACGAGTTTCTTGCCAAATGTGCGACGCACACGAGCAACAAATCATACGGAAGGCGTCCTCGGCGTCCGTCGGCGTGGGAGTTTTCTTCGGGACGCCGGCCGCCGCTTTGGCGAGCTCTCGACAAGAATTAGGCTCGGACCCGCGTCGGTTGAGCTCGTGACGCTCGTCTTTTCTTCGGCGCTCCATTGAGCTCGGAGGCGCGCCCCGGCGAAGTGATCGGCTTGACCGAGACGACGTCGATCGCAACTCCGATTTGACTGAAAATAACCAGCGCACGCGTCTTCAAGTGCGAAAGAGAAAGGAGAAGTCGACTGTCTACGCCCCCTCGCGAGCGGACAAAGCCGCGTCGGGCTTTCCCTTTGAAAAAGGGGGGGGGGGGTGGCGGCCACAGCTCCCGCCATCGCTCCGATCCTTTCTCGTTCCCCCCGGCGAAGACGCGATCCTTTGGCCCGTGACAAAAACACAGCCGTCGTAGAAACGAGCCCAAACAAAGGCGTTCTTTCATGAAGGAAATCGCGAATGGCGAGTGCAACAGAGCGGCGAGCCTTGTGCCTTTTGTGCGTGCAGTCGCAGCCGTTCACCGCCC